TAGTAACTAATCACCTTGTCTCCTTTTAGCCACTTTGCTAATTGCTTTTGATTCTCCCCCTCCCCCCAAGCAACAGGGTCTTCTCCAAGGAGTCTTGACTTTCTAGTACACATTCAAAATATGTAAACTTCAAGGTCATTATTAGGGCTTCCTATGAGCAATCTAATTTTAATTTATCTAGGATAAATTACAATACCTTACAATTCAAGGTATTATCGATAATTTTGTCCAGCATCACAATTCAAGGTTATCATTTCTCTTCATTTAGCCTTTTTGAGATCCAGCCGTCATAATCATATTTACATCTGACTCTGGAATTTTGACTAGATATGCAGTATGTGCTAGATTGATTCTTAGAGATTCAAAGAAGCAAATACAATTTTTTTTCTCTGTAGATGTAATCTTGATTCATATATGTGTTCATGTTGAAATTAGTATCATTAATCATATGAGTGATGGAAATATTTGTCTTTATATAAGACCAAGGAGATTTAAGAAACTGCCCCATCTTTCAGATAGCAGGCATGAACACTGTTTCTGCAGTTTCATTTTTGAAAACACAGTTCATAATATGCAAATTATGAATGTAGAGCGTGAATGTTCTTCTGGTTGGGAGTCCAGTACATTTTTATATTGTAACTTTATCTTGGCATACAAGCCACTATGGGCATATGTGGGTAGTATTGGGCAAGTTTCAGTGTGAACTATTTTTAATTCTCCATCAGTTGATGTGCTGGCACAAGCTTAAACATTCCTGTCTGGGTTTTGCTGTGTTGTCTACACCATGTCTATAAAAACATTTGCTTGCTTTCTGTATTAATAAGAGGACCAGCAAGTACAGAAGAGAATTGTTGCATATTTATAAAATCAAGAATGTGCTCAATAATTGAAGGGAAAATGCTAGAACTAATTCTAGTGAATTTGAAAGCAGGTACTTTCAAAGCTGCCAAGATTATGTACTGCAGGAAACGAATCATTTACTATACTTTATTCTGATTTTTTCCATCAAGAAAGTCCAAGCAGAATAGTTAGCATTGGCCCAGAAGATTCCTGTCTAGATTTCAAACAAATTAATGGCATCATCTATCTTCAAAAATATGAGTTTTCCCCATTTTCTTGAAGAGAAATAATGTCTCTTATATCCCCTATCCTGTTCACTTTCTCTAAGATGATAAAAAGCATCCTTTTCTAGCATGCCTTCAAACCCTTGGATGATTTGATAATAATGTGTTAATTGGGGGGGGGGTTTGCAATTATTTTTAATTGATTTAAATTAACATAACAGAACAGAAATGCTTGTAAAATACATAATTGTGTTGAAATTCAACAAAATATCCTGGCCGTGGAGTAGATGTTTAGACTTCTGTTCTCAGAATTCCCTAGATTCATGGCCATTACTGAGAATTCTGGCAGCGGAAGTTCACAATCTGTTTGGTGACCAGATTATTTCATTAATTGTGAATGTATATTTTTTTTTGAAAAAAAAATAGAATAGTTTAAAGAATCTCCAGACTAGTTCATCTATCTTAATTTTCAAATGGTTTGAGTTGATGTTAGTCCTGTATTTGGGATTAGCTGTTCCTAATTTTAGCTGGAAGATTATTTCTCAGTATGCCAGATCAAGTTGCTCTGGAATATTCCTAAAACACAGAGTCTCCAAAGAGCCTGTTTGCAGTTTGGGCTACAAGTAAGGAGTGGAAACCTGGGAGATTTTCCAAGATGAAGTCAACCTCTGCACTGGGACAGCATATTTCACAGAAGTGACAATGAAGTTTAACATTGGCTGGTAGACCATATTAGATTTCACTTGCTAGGCATGGGAATGGCACAGGATGTACATAGTGAATCTGAAAAAAAGCCCAGCTAATACCTTTGTTTCCTCTCCTCCTTTGATGACCATAATATTCAGAGGGACTAAGAAACAAATGCAGAGTGGGTAGATGCTTAGCCCTGCCTTACTTCTGATGATGTACAGGCAGTCCTTGACTTACGACAATTCATTTAATGACCGTTTGAACTTACAGCAGCATAAAGTGATTTATGACCATTTCTCACTCTTATGACTGTTGCAGCATCCCCATGGTCATGTGATCAAAATCCAAATGCATGGCAACTGACTCATATTTATGACAATTTCAGTATCCCAGGGTCATGTGATCAGCTTTTGCAACCTTCTGACAAGCAAAGTTAATGGGAAAGCCAGATTTGCTTAACAACCAGGTTACTAACTTAAAAACATCACTTAACAATTGTGGCAAGAAAAGTCGTAAAATGGGGCAAAACTCACTTAATAAATGTCTTGCTTAGCAACAGAAATTTTGGGCTCAGTTGTGGTCATAAGCCGAGGACTACCTGTAATTACAGCTTCATGACATCTGGAAGGCATTATGATGCAGAAGGCTGGCTTCAACAATCTACATGGAAATAACGGGGCAAGAAAATAAGCTTCACTTCCAGCCCACTGCATCCTCTTGAAGGTCTCCAATCTTTAATTCTTAAAATTCCATCTTTAGTGTTATCTAATCAAGTCAGTAATAAATAATGGTATGTTCACTATATTCCAGGGTAAAATCAGACTTCCTTATCCATATCACTCTTTCAAGGCATTATTTGCAAGATATACACAAACTTAGAACAAATGCATTAATAGGAGGAGGATAACAAAAGTGATAACATTATCTTATTAACTGGGCAAAGCTAATACATACCTGTAATAAGAAGCACGTGTTTCCCTTGTACAAGTACAGGTAGCCCTTGACTTATAGCTATTCATTTAGCAACTGTTCAAAGTTATAACAGCATTGAAAAAAGCGACTGACAATTGGTCTCACACATACAACTGTTGCAGCATCCCAACGGTCACATTATCAAAATTTGAGCACTTAGCAACCAGCATGTATTTATCATGGTTGCAGTGTCCTTGTGATGTGTGATCATCATTTTTAACTTCCCAACTAGCCTCTGACAAGCAAAGTCAATGGGGGAGGGCAGATTCGCTTAATGACATGACTTACTTAACAATTACAGTGATTCACTTAACAACCCTGGGGAAAAAAAGGTGATAAAAGTCTGGCACAAAACACTTGATAATTGCCTTGCTAAGCAATGGAAATTTTAGTCCCAATTATGATCCTAAGTTGAGGACCATCTGTAGGCTAATGCCATATGGCTGCTTTGGGGCCAAAGGAACCTTCAAAATGGCGGCAGGAGGTTAGCGGGACCACTTGGCTTCTTTATTTATACAACATACCAGTTGAATTATTGAGAGTTCTTAGGAGAAAGTGTAGTTTCAGTAAATAAGATTAAAAATGTAAAAATAATGGACACATAAACAGCAGCAACTGTTATACTTACTAGAAAGAAGGATGAGCCATTTTTTAAAAAGATAATCGTCTATTAAGAAGGAAAGATTCCATAGAGAAAAGTGATCTGTTTCCATTGCTATGTTTTCAACAAATCTAAGATGACAGCTTCCTTTTAAATATTCAGGGGAATGGATTGAATGAGTCTTCAGGGAAAAAACTTACTTTCAGATACTTTATTTTTCTTCCTAGCATTTTTCTCACAAGTGCGGGGTCTTCTTTTTTTCCAGGTCAACTGTGTATTGGTCCATTGGTTGATTAACTGGCTTGTTGCTTAAGCCTGAGATCGTGAGCTGAGAGAGCAACTGGTCCAAAGTTATCCAGCCAGCTTTCATGCCTAAGGCTGGAGTAGAATTCTGAGGTTTTTGGATTCTAACTTGATGCTAAATCACGAGACCAAACAAATCTCTCTCACTTTCAGATACTGTGGTCCCAAAACACTATTGTTATAGCTTTTGATTTTAACCTGGAAACAAATCAGGAGCTCATGAAAACAATTTATCATACCCCAGAGTATTGTTGCTCATCCCTTCTCTTTTTTGAAAAAAGCTTGAATTTAGTTCTGTTTTTGAAATATAGAAGTTGTGTATTAGTCACTGTTTCTTCTACATTTCAGGTTGTAAGCTATGCTAAAAACACATGATCGAGAAAATTTCTGAAAATTCATCCCATCCCTTTTTAACATTACAGAATTATGTACAGAATCTGAGGTGAAACAAGCTTTTATGAATTGGAGACAGGTTAGGCCAACATGTATATAAAATGTGAATAGTTATTCTGGAAAATTATACAATCAATAGAGAATATATGTAGCTCAGGGTTCATTTGTAGAGTCCTTGGTGATCTCCCTGCTTGTTTGTTTACAGATGTTTCATTACTCAACTAGATAACATCATCAGTGTGAGTGTGTGGTTGGCTCCCTATTTGTATACTGTAGCTTGCCCTGCCAGTGTTGGGCGAGGTTTACTTTTCTCCTTGGTAGTTCTTTCATTAGGATATTATTTTCTGCTTGATTTTTTGTTTAGTATTAATCCCTGCTTATCAGAGTGTTGGTTGCCAGGGAAAATGTGTTCTGCTCTTTTTGTTTCCTTCTTAATTTTTTTTGGTCTCTTTTGAATGGTGTGCAAATATAATTTGTTCCTATGTGTCCATAGAACACATGCCCATTATAATCCATATCATAGACCATGTTTTATAGTTTAAGTTTGAAGTCAATAACTTGAGAACCTCCCACCCCATTTTTGCAGATCTCAGGGCTACACGTGACTATAGTTGCTGAAAAGTGATGGCATATTTTCCCATGTTTTGAGATAGGAGAGGCCTGAAATATATTTTTATAGAGTATAAAAAACCCTTCCCTAAACTCTAAAAATCAGACATTCCTATTCTTGTCTACTGAGATTTATATTCTGTGTTCAGTAGCCTTCCTCTAAAAGATAACATATTTTTTTTTGCTACAACATGAGAAGACTATACTGTACAAGCCAGCCATTTGTAGTTTATTTGACAGACTGCAGTTAATTGTGGCTCAGTGTGACTCTTTGTTTTTTATTATTATTATTTCTGGTCACAATATTGTAGGCATAATCTAAATTTTCCATCACTTGGTTCTCAATCTTAACCCTGTTTTCTCTGCAGAGTAGACAACTTTGGGCTCGGACTTCTGCTTCAGAGCAAACAGATCAAGCGTATGGTGTCCTCCTATGTTGGAGAAAATGCAGAATTTGAGCGGCAGTATTTATGTGGCGAACTGGAAGTTGAGCTTACCCCACAGGTAAAATGTTAATTGCCTCTTCTTTGGAGGAAGGCTCCTTATAATAAATGGTACCAGCTCTTTGAGTTCCATTCCAGTTGCAGGATTTCCACACCAGAAACTGAATGTTTCTTGTGTAACTACTGTATTGCGTGGTCCTTTTGAGTCTGTTGCAAATCATAAGGCTCAGACAGCTTTCCTCATTTCTGTCATTTTGCAGAGGCGTCAACAGACTTCCCATCTTGGGAGTGTATTGCATTGCACCACTATAGGAAGCAGGAAACTGGACTAGATCAGTCTTTGGCCAGATTCTGAACCAACCCTAAAGCCTGATTTATGTTAGAGCCCCAGGCTACAGACACACTATAATGATTACCATGCAGTATTAAAATACAAGTAAGAAAACATGGATACTCACGTACCAGCTAGTTAAGAGTAGGAGAAGTAGGAGGTGTTTTTAAGCTATTAGCATTGCATCGGCAGTCACATTTTAAAAATCCATTAAGTATTTGCAGTGTTGCGCTTGACTGACCTACACTCCATTCTTCATGCAGGTTTAACTAGCTTTTTGAAAAAGATTGACTTCTTGCCTGCCAGCCAAACTTCCCTCCTACACCAAAGTTAAGAATACAAGTAGCTCATTTCATAATTGACCACCTTTCGTAAGTTAATCTTTTCTTAGCCCAACCACACTGAGTAAATAAATT